TTCGGTTGGATACGACACACAGTGGTGTCACGGTTCGGTTCGATACGACACATAGTGGTGTCACAGTTCGGTTCGATACGACACAGTGGTGTCACAATTCGGTTCGATACGACACACAGTGGTGTCAAGGTTCGGTTCGATACGACACACAGTGGTGTCACGGTTCAGTTTGATACGACACACAGTGGTGTCACGGTTCGGTTCGATATGACACAGTGGTGTCACGATTCGGTTGGATACGACACACAGTGGTGTCACGGTTCGGTTCGATACGACACACAGTGGTGTCACGGTTCGGTTCGATACGACACAGTGGTGTCACGATTCGGTTCGATACGACACACAGTGGTGTCGCGTTGTGTGTCGATACGACACAGTGGTGTCACGATTCGGTTCGATACGACACACAGTGGTGTCAAGGTTCGGTTCGATACGACACAGTGGTGTCACGATTCGGTTTGATACGACACACAGTGGTGTCACGGTTCGGTTCGATACGACACAGTGGTGTCACGATTCGGTTCGATACGACACACAGGGGTGTCAAGGTTCGGTTCGATACGACACAGTGGGGTCACGATTCGGTTTGATACGACACACAGTGGTGTCACGGTTCGGTTCGATACGACACAGTGGTGTCACGATTCGGTTCGATACGACACACAGGGGTGTCAAGGTTCGGTTCGATACGACACACAGTGGTGTCACGGTTCGGTTGGATACGACACACAGTGGTGTCACGGTTCGGTTCAATACGACACAGTGGTGTCACGATTTGGTTGGATACGACACAGTGATGTCACGGTTCGATACGACACACAGTGGTGTCACGATTCGGTTCGATACGACACACAGTGGTGTCGCGGTTCGGTTGGATATGACACACAGTGGTGTCACACAGTGTTAATATTTTAATTAGGACTATAATTCATTGTATAATAGACCTGTAACATTTTAACTGAGGAGTAAATATCCTTGCAGTATGTCAGTTGTGTGGTAATTATTGTGGGGCAAATTAATTGTAATTTTAATTTAATAAAAGTAACTTCATAATACTAATAGGCCTAATAAAAATAAGAATGTAACATGCCTACATTAATTGGAAATGCCAAATCCTCTTAATATTGCCAAACATTGATGTTTTTGACGATATCTCTGGCTGTCGTCGATACAAGATCATCGTCTTTCGACGCACCGAAGCAAGGGGAGGTTATCGCTAATCCTATTACATCCAAATGTAATAGGATTAGCACAACAAATCGTTCGGTTTGTAATGCGTACCGAACCGAAAGCCTCGTACCGAACGATTCAATACGAATATGTGTATCGTTACACCCCTAATGTATGTATATTAATTTATTTTATTAAAACCGTTGATGTAATGAAAATATTTATTAATTCATATTATATTATATATATATATTCACATTTATAACATCCACAAATTGTGTTATGATAAACTGATTGGTTTGGACTCTGTTTCAGGTTGCGGTGACCTCTGCACCCCCATCACTGTCTGTCAGGCCCTGGATGAGTGGATCAACAACACCTCCGTCCCACCAGCAGCCACAGCGTGTCCAGCGGGACGTCAGTACTGTCCGTACGCTGAGCGCTGTCTGCCCTTGGCCAGCTCGTGTCATCCCGGGGCTTGTGTGAACTGTTCTGGGGTCAGTCCTCTGCCTGCGGGCACACAGTACCCAGAATACAGACTCGTCGAGGAGGTGCTGATCTCCCTACCGGCCGGACCACCATCCAGCATCCTGGTGAGTTTGACTGAATGAAAACCAGACTGGATTTCATCTGAAATTTTAACAGTCAGGACTTTTTATTTAAGAATATACATACTTTTTATTTAAGAATAAAGAAATTAAAATGTTGTACTCTCAAAAAATGTCAGGAACATGTCTGTATCATTCTGATTTCATGATTTCATTCCAAAATCAAAAGAAAAAAAAATTGATTTAGCAAAAGGCAAAGGAAGTCTGTTTTAGGAAAATTAAGATTATTTTTCCATCGTAACATTATTTTTGACAATTAAACCCATATTTTCCCTAAACTCGCATTATTGTAATGCACAAAATTCTTACTTAACAGTTGTTATTGTAAAGCGAAATTATTAAAAATGGTTTTGGCTAACTAAAATAAATCTGAAACAAAATATAAATATTATATGAAAAAATCTAACTTAAAAAACTTTAATTAGAAAAAAACTAAAATAATGAAAATTAGAAATGTTGCCTTGACAACTAACTTAAAAAAGGAAATAAAGCTAAATATTCAAATATTCAAAAAACAACAAAAAGTACACAACAACATTTCTACAAATTAAACCAAAATTAAAATTCAAAAGAAAACTGAAAATATAAAATTCAAATATTTAAATTCAAAATATTAATAAATACTACAGTAGTATACTATAATAGCACTGTTTCTCATTACATTAATGTGAATATAGTAATAGGAATATAGTATTTATTCAATTTCATTAATAAAAATTAAAATTTGCAATGCAAATAATCTTCTAAAATACATTCTGATAAAAGGTTTCATTTTCTTTATGCAAAATATAGTTTCTTGTTTTTTTTGTTTTTTCTGTGTGAAATATGGATCATGACGGGTTTTATAAGACTCAACCACTGACTGTCGAAATTCTCTTCTGCTATATCTGGATCATAGACCATGCGTCCAGCACGCTTGAGCTTCTGGATGAAATGCCAGAGCATTGAGCTTTTAATGAGAGGTTGAGTGTGTGTGTGGGCCTGCAGGTCGTCTGCTTCACCCTCCTTCAGTGCGTTCTTTCTAAACGGAGCGTTTGAAGAGTAAATGCGGGGCGGCTCAGAATGTCCTCGAGTGATGTTCAGATCACTGTTAATTATTTCCACTCCCTCGCTGCTGCCTGAAACCAAGTCCTAATAATGACCCTCAGTTTGTCTCATGAAGAGGCACATGACAGTGAGACAAGCTTCTCCTCACAGCTTTCTTTTGGGGCTGTTTTTGTGTGTTTTCTGTGGTATTTGTGGTCTGTTTCGGGGCACAGTGTAATTCCAGAGGTCGGGACCTTATTAAGGGTAATCACTGTCCCCCTCGCGCTCACCGCAGTCAGTGTTGCCATGTGATCTAGTTTATACTATTTATAAATGATAGGATGTTACTGCAAGAGGTGTTTTGAGATAAAAGATGACTAACAGAAAAAAATAGTAAATAAGGGTGGTGTATTTCTTCTGAATAGGATATATATCACCCTAAAAAGGGCATTTTCAGATATATATTTCTCTTCTTCTAGCTGATGGTTGTTCAACAAATGGCCCGTGTTTAGACTGCTACAGTATACAAAATCAATTCAAATATATCGCATATATAGACAAACGTTGAATGTTAGAGCATGCAAAACATACATAAAATTCACAGAATGTCAAAGTGAGAATCCGTATTTGATTGGTGAATCGTTTATTTACACTATCGTTCATAAGTTTGGGGTTGGTAAGATTTTATTTTTTTGAAAGAAGTCTCTTCTGCTCACCAAGGCTGCATTAATTTGATCAAAAATACATTAAAAACAGTAATATTGGGAAATATTATTACAATTCAAAATAAAGTTTTTTCAAATCTGAATTTTCAGCATCATTACTCCAGTCTTCAGTGTCACATGACCCTTCAGAAATCATTCTAATATGCAGATTGTTTTTAATTTCAGATTAAAACCAATTTGTTTGTATATATATATATATATATATATATATATATATATATATATATATA